GCGCGCCAACCGAGTTTATGCGGGCGCCGGCTGTGGGTCTTCCACCGGCCGGCGTCGGCTCAGGTGTCGGTGAGATGGGGGAGTGGGGGGATCTATTCTCCCTTCTCAAACGCGCATTCTCCAGGCGGAGGAGCTTCGCGTCTGCCCGAAGGCGTCTCCTCTCCTCCGCCCAGCTCCTTTCGCCGGAAAGGCTGGCGCCATCCTCGGCCGTGGAGCCTCCATTGGAACCCTCACCCGCCCTGTTCATGGTGGCCATGAGGGCTGCGGAGAGCTTCGAAAAGACTCCCCACAGGTCCCTCACGATGGTGCTCTTTAGGTTCTTGGAGCGCTCCACAGCCTTCGCGAGCGTGTCCAGCTCCCTTTTGGCCACGGCCGCGATCGCCTCGAGGGGCTGTTGCTCGTACTCTTTCACGAGTTCAACAGCCCTCTCGGCGGCCCTCTTGGCCGAGGCGGAGGAAGGCGCTACCTCCGGATCTGAGATGACGAGGTAGTCTCTCTCCAGTCGCCTCGCTCTGGCCTTGTCCGCCTTTCGGGCCCTGGTCTCTGCCGTAAATTTTCCGACGTTTGCCGGATTTAACGCCGGCCGGCCCCTTGTCCTTTTACTTTGCTCCTCCTCCCTACGGCCCCGATGGGCCTCTTGCGGCTCTCGCCCCCTACGGACGCCATCGAGGCCGTAGATGTCGACCTCGATAAGTTGCCCACAGAGACGACCGAGCCTCGCCGCGACCCGAGCTTGCTACAAGCAGGACCGGACCGCTGCCTGCGGGAAGGCGTTCCCTCCCCAATCCCGTCCCCCGAGGTGCCAGGATGTTCACCATCCAATCGGGGAGGGGGTGGTGGTGGCGGCGGTGGCGGTGGTGGTGACGAGTCACCGCCGGTTCCTCCTCGCAAGCGCAGAGACTTCGCGTCCGGCTCTACGGAGCTTAATCCCTCCTCGTCCCCAAAGCATATCCGGGTATATTGCTCGGCTGGTATGAACGCTATACCCGGATCCTCCTCGTTCCACTGGGTGTCCTCGAAACCCAGGGAACACCCCGCCTCGTCGTACTCGAGGGACCGGAGGGACTCTCCCTCCAAAGAGAGAGAGTCATCTCCCAACGAG